ATGTCGGTTCAATTCAACCTTGCGTCGATCGACACACACCCCTGTGTTGATCGACGCACACACCAAAATTATAAATTTTGGTTCACGGACTTTACAATTCTCCCCGATTAACTGGGATTCATCCTCGAATCTCGCAACACCGTTCTCTACGATCTCAACCACCTGGCCCACCCAGCCAGCACCACTCGAGATCACACCTCGAATCACGCAACACCGTTCACTACGGTTTCAACCACCTGACCAATCCGGCCAGCACCACCCGAGATCAACACTCCCGATCTTTGAAGTCTACATCTAGTCGTATGCACATAGCAATGTTTTAGACATTAATTACTCTTAACTCATATCCACACCACTCACACTCTCAGAATCGTCATCCCTTGAGCTCTCGGTGTACCATACCACTCACACCCTCAAGACATACAATCCGTCAGGCTCTCGGTATGCTCCATACAACTCATACTCTCAGGACCCACATTCCGTCAAGCTCTCGGTATGTAGGAAAACTCACATCCCCTAGAGAGAACTCACATCCCCTGGAGAGAACTCATCATCTCTCAAAGAAAATACAGGAAAACTCACATCCCCTGGAGAGAACTCATCATCTCTCAATAAAAATATAGGGAAACTCACATCCCCTGGAGAGAACTCATCATCTCTCAATAAAAATATAGGGAAACTCGTCATCCCCTTAGGAGAACTCGTCATCTCCTAATGAGTTGTTCGGGAAAATTCTCATTCCCTAGAGCAATCAATTCTTAACGCCTATAACATCTCTGACTAGAACTACCTCCCGTGGTCTCGACCTGAGATCCCACTCTCCAGGAATATCATCTCATCCTTGACCAATCCACATGTCAACTGAAACAATTCAATCACACAGGGTGTTTCCACTAGAGTCTCATAGAAATAGACAAGTTCTAACTCAAATAATATTTCTATTTCTAGACTCTAATTAACACATAAAACCATGACAACACAAGTCATACCATAAGAACTCCTGATCTTATAAATCATACCATAAGAAATA